GAGGGTAGCGCCTTGGGGAGTTTCATGTGGCTCTGCTTTGGCTCGCTGGTGTCTGCCTGGGGATGATCCCATGGCAGAGTTGTTTAGTGCCAATTCACTGTTGTTTCGGACATTGGGGATATTTCTCAGCCCTGTTTATGTAGGACCTTCACAAGCACCTTGAGCTGTATGAGTGCTGCAGCCCCTGATGCATTTTCCTGTCTAAGGGGCAAGTCTTGATGGAGTTATCTCTCCAGAGAGACCCAAAGGCCAACGACCCTTTCCCCTTGCCTTTCCCCTTGCCTTTCCCCTTGCCTTTCCCCTTGCCTTTCCCCTTGCCTTTCCCCCTCCCTTTCCCCTTTCCCTAGCTGAGACACCCCAACCCAAATAACCCGCCAGGAGGGATGCCCGGGTGGGGTGGCGGTACCAGGGTGGGGGTAGTGTCCAGGGGCACGGCGCAATGGTTCGGCATCAGCAGCGACTGGGAGGGGAAGCGGCAGCAGTGGCAACGCAAGAGCTTGCAGCACTGCAGCATGAGGTATGGGAAGCTGAAGCCTGCCTATCGCGACATGGAGCTGCCCAGCCAGGAGGTGCCCTCCTTCCAGGGCACCGAGTCACCCAAGACCGCCAAGATGCCCAAGGTAGAGCTCGGGGCAGGGGGTTCCCAACGCCCAGCCAGGCTCTCCTAGCACTGACACTTCTCCCTCCTCCAGATCGTGGACCCAATGGCCAAAGGGAAAAAACCGCCATCCCGACGAGACCGACCGGCCCCACACGCCCCATCACGTCCTGCCCCCGCTCACCCCTGGCGTTGTCTCCTTGGCGTCCTTCAACAGCGTCCGCTCTGGCCATGGCCGCCTGCCACGCAGAAAGAGGGAGTCTGTCGCCCACATGAGCTTCAAGGCGGCTGCAGCGCTCCTCCGTGTGAGTTTTGGGGAGCTTGGCAGGGGGTCATCTTCCTCCTGACTTAGGTATCAGCTCTATCCCTCACCCATCATCTTCACTTCTTGGCTTTTTGCCTTGTCTCTCCAGGGTGGGCTTGAGGAGAGCAGTGGGGTTTTTTTTAACCTGAGCTCTGCTTAAAAAGAGATGTTTTCGTGAAAACTGAACTGCTGAATTGGAACTACCCTGCATGGCATCTCTAGAAAAAAGCAGCTTCTGGGTTTCGCTGCCAAGGAGCCAGGAGACCTTTTGCTGCAGGGGAAGCTTCTCCAACAGCTTTCGAGGCCCTGGGGAAGCCTCAGGGTCGGGTTTGTGGGACTGAGACTGAACAGGGGATTCAGAGTTCACTTGTGCTGACTGACATGGTCACGGTCACCTGCTGCCAGCTTCTGCTACCTGCCCTTCCCAGCCGATGGGGATGTGATCCTTGCCTCTCAGTGTTGGGGAGAGAAGCCACAAGAAACCCTCAGTACTTCAAAAACGGGGGGGCTTCTGGTTGCTCACCCTCATTTGCTTCTCCTGCCAAAGGGACGCTCTGTCCTGGAGCCACTGGCTCCCAAGCAGAGGAGCAACAAGAGGAGCTTCATGTACCCCAGCTTCATGGACGAGGACATGGCAGACGCTGCTGACACCCTCGACTCATCCTTCTTCAGTAAGGCAAGTGCCATTCCACGCCAGCTGCCAGAGCGGGGAGGGGTCCCAGTACTGGTAACCCTGTGCGGGGGCTGGATGTGGAGTGGGGACCCCCGTGTTGGTGCTTCACCCTGCCAGGGAGCAGGGGCAGCGGTGGCTGTTGTGCCGGGCTCTGCGGAGTCCCAGTTTCGGTGATGCTCCTTGAGGGTGTCACCCTCATGGGCACGTTTCACACCCTGCGACATGCAGTTACTGGAGTATTGATGGGGATCCCCCCCTCCCCAGGCTCTAGAAGCAGGTGGACCCAGACTGCTGTGGTGATGGGCACACTTGGGCAGAGGGAGGTTTCTCGCCCATCGCACATGTCCAAGAACGCACCTCTGTCCTCCTTCCAGATGGACATGCACGATGAGACGTACTCCATGCCCGATGATGTCTTCGAGTCGCCGCCTCTATCGGCCACATATTTACGCATGCACCCGGTGGGGGAGGATGCCAGGGTGTCCCCCGAGGTGGAGCAGCCCACCCCGTGAGTACCAGCCCCTGAGGCTGCCCGGGTCCCCTGCCGCAGTCAGGACAGTGTCCTCAGCCATCCCTGCCATGGGCCACTGGGCACCTCCAGCATGCTTCTCGGAGGATGAAACCACAAGGCGCTCCTAGCCCGCATCCCTGGCATCCTCTGGTCTGCTCCAGCCCTGGGGTGCAGCTGTGGGGTTGGACACGGGGGATTTTTCTGGCCCCTTTCGATGGGCATGATGGGTTTCCTCCTCTCTCTGCAGGCGGGAGGGGGTCCGGCTCGCTTCGTCCCCCCCCCGTGCCCGCCCGGCTCCCCCCCCGGGCCTCCACCGGTGCCGGCCTGGCTCCCCAGCGAGGCAGGCGCATCGCTTCCAAAGTGAAACACTTCGCCTTCGACCGCAAGAAACGCTACTACGGGCTGGGGGTGGTGGGGAAGTGTCTGAACAGGACGTACCGCCGCAGCCTGAGCAGCATCGTGCAGTCACAGCTGGAGATCACCGACAGCCACCGGTGAGGGGGGACTGGCGGGATGGGGATGGGCATGGGGCTCCTTGGGGCTCCCCAGCTGTGACTCCGGATGTGCGTCCCCCTCGATGTCTGGGTATCAGGGCTTGGGGGACTGCAGCGTCCCTGTGCCCAGCCACCCTTGAGCTGCTCCAATTTTGGGTCCTTTCCTCCGCAGGCCATATTTCACGTACTGGATCACCTTTGTCCACGTCCTCATCACCTTGCTGGTCATCGGCACCTACGGCATCGCCCCCATCGGCTTCACCCAGCACGTGACGACAGAGTTAGTAAGTTTAAGAGCTACTGTCCGGGGCTGTCCCCTCCCGGCTCTCCGGTGACATGTCTGCCTCTGAAATGGCAACCAGCTGGCTGCCAAGGAGAGCAAGGCTGGTGTCTGGGGAGTGCCTTCAGCACCCCAAAACGGGGATCCTCCTGCTGGGATTAATCCTGGGAACCTGTAGCTGGCTGCGTTGTTCCACTGGCACCCAGGCTGGAGAGAAGAGCAGGCACCTGTCTTCCTGGAGGGACGGTGACCACCAGCATCCCATGCTGTTGTGCTCCGTGCCAGGGCTGGGAGCATCTTGGGGTGCTGGTGGCTCCTGCTGTTTGAGAGGGTCCGTTAAACAGCCAGTGCAGAGGGTCCACGTGTGTCGCAGCAGCGTGCGTGCCAGCTGTGCCACAGAGCTGCCTTCCCTCACACGTGGCTGGTGGGACCCAGCAGCCCTTCCCCTTGGGTGAAGGGGCTGCTCAGACCCCCAGGAGCAGAGGCAGAGGGGGCTGCACCCCCACATTACCAGCCCCCTCGGCGGGAGCTGACACTGGGCTGACCTGGCAGGTGCTGCGGAACAAGGGCGTCTATGAGAGTGTCAAGTACATCCAGCAGGAAAACTTCTGGATCGGTCCCAGCTCGGTAAGGGTGCAGCCGGACCACTGCCTCTCGCCCCCTGGCCTGAGGCTCTGCCTTCCACCAGCCTCTGCTCCCCCTGCCCAGAGCCAAGGGGGTCCCTGGGGTGCTGCTCTCCCTGGAGGTAGAGCTCGACCTCTCGTCCCAACCTGCTGACCTGGGCCCTCAATGTTCCCATCCTTTGGGACCTGCTGTGCCCAGTCTCCGCCTGGGCTGGGGGCTCAGTGGCGATTCCCAGAGCTGCAGCATTGTGGTGGGATGGTCAAGAGAGATTCCGTCCCCTTCCTCCCACTGGGGTAATGGAAACTCAGGGCTGTCACCTGTGGGGACCCCCTGCCCCTGCCGAGCTCTCCCAGAGGGTAGCTGGAGGGAGGAGAGGTGCAGGGGGGCCACAGAGCAGCCTCTGGACTGGCATCTCCCTCCTAGATCGACCTGATCCACCTGGGAGCCAAGTTCTCCCCCTGCATCCGGAAGGATCAGCAGGTGGAGCGGCTCATCCAGCGCGAGCGGGACCGGGAGCGCGACTCCGGCTGCTGCGTCCAGAATGACAACTCGGGCTGCATCCAGACCCTGCCGCAGGACTGCTCGGTGCGTGGGTGCGGAGAAGTGCTGGGGAACAGCAGGAAGCCATCTCTGCCCCGCCTGGCACCAGGGCAGGATGCGTGCGGGGTCAAAGCAGTGTGTTTGCTGCCATGTCCTCAGTCTCTCCATCCTCCCTCCATCGTCCCCAGGAGACGCTGGCGACCTTCATCAAGTGGCCGAGCACCAAAGCGCCGGCCATGGGCTCAGGTGGGAAGCGGACATCAGGGGCTGTGTGTCACCAGGACCCCAGGTAGGAGTGACAACTGGGGAGAGGTGGCACAGTCACCTGGCTGTATGTGGGACACGGCAGAGAGGCTGCGTGGGGCTGCATTTCCAGCTTGGATGCCTTGAATCCTCTTGTCCAAGGGGCTGGGGTGGGGAGCTCTTACAAACCGTAGAAGAGCGATGAGGAAGAGGGAGTCAGTGGGGAAACTGAGGTGGGGTCTGTCCTAAATGCAGGCACTGTAGGACACTGAGGTGCAGGATCTGTTCCAAGCCAGGGGAAGAGGCAGGTCCTGGGGCTGCCCATGCCCGCAGCGGGTCTAGTTTGGGGGAGGGATGTGTGGAGGGAGACCAGTCCTGACCCCCCATCCACCTCCTTCTGCCAGGACGTGTGAGGAGCCGGCGTCCAACCCACCCCACGTGTGGCCAGACGACATCACCAAGTGGCCGGTAAGAGCCTGGTGCCACTATGAGCTGGGTGGCACCGACGTGGCAGCCTCTGTGGGAGGTGCGGGGGGCAATGAGACCCGCAAGGGGAGGACCTGGGGCCAGAGCCTGACCACGGCTCCTCTCCCTCCTGCTTCTAGATCTGCACCTACGAGACCAAAACCAACCACAGCGGCTTCGCCCACATGGACTGCCAGATCAAGGGCAGGCCCTGCTGCATCGGCACCAAGGGCAGGTGGGTTGCAGTGATGGGGGCCCCTGGCCCAGGCTCGGCTCCCCCCTCCGCCCCTGCAGTGTCTGGGACAGAGGGAGCTTACGAAGCCTCAGAGGGGTGGGAAAACGCAGTGGCGACAGGAATGGCTGCTGGGAGCGGAGAGGGATGCTCGGGGGAGTGGGGAGCGAGGCCGACCCCGAGCAAATCCGCTGCCCACCCTCTGCCCAGCTGCGAGATCACGACGCGGGAATACTGCGAGTTCATGCACGGCTACTTCCATGAGGAGGCAACGCTCTGCTCGCAGGTGAGCGCGACCGGGGCCACGGGGCGCTATGCCGGCGGCCGGCTCACACCCTGCTGCGCTGACGCCAGAGGGTTTTCTAGTATCCTGGGACGCAGTTTGGGATGGGTGTGAGCAGGGAGAATGCGAAGGGCAGCAATCAGCTGGGCTACGGCTGACTGCCGCTGTGTGCCCACCTGGCTGGTGGAGGGCAGGAGGAAACATAGGGCTTGAGCCAAGTGTCCTTGGGGAAGGCGCATCCTGGGTGGAAAGACGGTCCTTCAGCATCTCCTGGGGCACTGGCGATGCTCGGTTGCTCCCTCTGCGGCACGTGGGCAATGTGGGTCCCCTCCACCACCCTGGGTCCCCCCCACAGCTGACATGTGGCATCACCAGCCATGCGTCTTTGACCCATCTTGAAACATAGGGCTTGAGCCAAGTGTCCTTGGGGAAGGCGCATCCTGGGTGGAAAGACGGTCCTTCAGCATCTCCTGGGGCACTGGCGATGCTCGGTTGCTCCCTCTGCGGCACGTGGGCAATGTGGGTCCCCTCCACCACCCTGGGTCCCCCCCACAGCTGACATGTGGCATCACCAGCCATGCGTCTTTGACCCATCTTTCTCTTCCTGTGGCTCTGGGGTGTGGGCTGAGCCCCCATCACCCCCGTCACCCCAACCCTGGCTCCTTTGCAGGTGCACTGCCTGGACGAGGTCTGTGGCCTCCTGCCCTTCCTCAACCCAGATGTCCCTGACCAGTTCTACCGCCTGTGGCTGTCCCTGTTCCTGCACGCTGGGTGAGCTGCAGCCCCCCGCGCCCCAGGGGTGACTGGGGACCGGAGCGTCCATTGGGATGGTCCGTGATCCCCGATGGGTTGGGAGAGAAGAAGGGAGGACACCCCCAGACTACAGTGACACGTGCCATGGGTGGCGAGTGTTTTGTAAGCTGTGCCATGCCCCGGGGCAGCGAGTGGGAGGGCTGGGCAAGGGATCTGGCAGGGCAGGGGTCTCTAACTCAGGATCTCCCACCCCCACTGCCAGCATCATCCACTGCCTGGTGTCGGTGACCTTCCAGATGACGGTGCTGAGGGACCTGGAGAAGCTGGCGGGCTGGCATCGCATCTCCATCATTTTCATCCTCAGTGGCATCACGGGCAATCTGG